ACATAGAAAGCCTCAGGATACTTGCTCTATTTACAGCTAAAGGTGTTGTGTAGAAGCCTCAGAGCCAAGCTAGCATTGGCATTTGGTACTATGTACACAGCAGTTAGCAATGTATCAAAAAGAAAAAATAAGTAGGTCCTCTGGATGGGTTCTTCTTTAGTGAACCATTTCGTCTCTCCTCCAAGAGACTTCTTCAGTCTGATGAGTTTCAGGTGAACTCAGCCTTATAAGCACTGCCTCCACATGGACAAACAGGTTAGTCATATGCAAAAGAGGGCCATCACCTAACAATAGGCTTGATTAGCTCTGTTGTTCATAGAGGGTCATGTGCCCCATCACCTGAYTTATTGGTTTGGATGCTTCGGCTGTGGTTATTTGGTGTCGTGTTATGTGTATGTAGTGAGTGCAAGCAGGGTTCAACGTTCCCTTTTTTGTCCCTCTTTCCCTATTTATGTTGGGTATCGTTGGGGCCCTGATTCACACCTTTCGCTCACAGGAGGCTGAGTCAGACTTGCAATAACAGCATTGTAGGAGGAGGACAACTGGACACTAACCTGTTTGTCCACCATGTGGAGGCAGTGCTTATAAGGCTGAGTTCACTTGAAACTCATCAGACTGAAGAAGTCTCTTGGAGGAGAGACGAAACGTTTCACTAAAGAAGGACCCATCCAGAGGACCTACTTATTTTTTCTTTTTAATTTTTTCTACCTGGATTACTGAGATGCATCAGGACAGTTAGCAATGTAGCATTGATTTCCTGGGAGAGGTACATGGGTCTGCACAGGGCTCTCTCAAGCTTTGATCTGAGCTTGGAGTGAGACTTTGAGCCACTGACCACTGTTGCAGACTCCCTGCTGCCTCCAAGCACCCACCCACAAACACACAATTTAATCCAATACATCAACACAATCAGCAAAAACATTGATGAAGATGATGATGATGAAGATGATGATGATGATGCCTTTAGTGTCATTGTACAGAGCACAATGAAATTACGTTTAAGAACAATAATAATACCAGGGCCACTATGCCATAGTTTTAAAATATCAAACAACCAAATATNGTCTTCATTTTCACCTGAAGGTTGCATGGAGTCCTGTCTGTGTTTCCTGTCTGCTTTCAGGAAAGCCCAGTCAGGATAACCACACTGCTCCAGGGTTAGAGAAGAACCCGTCCAGAAGACCTATGCAATTTTTTTCTTTTTGATTTTTTTACCTGGATTACTGAGATGCATCAGGACAAAGCAGAAGAAGATTGGCTAAAGTAGCAAAAGCTTAGCGAAAGTAGTAAAAGGTTAGCCAATAGTAGCAAAAGTCTACCTAAAAGTTACAAATTATTAGCTAAAAGATATAGYTAAATAATATCTAAAAGCTAGACGAAGCAAAGGATATCTAAAATTACATTTCTAAAAAGGCTGGGTAAAATCTTAAAAYACCAAAATGCAAGCTAAAAGTTGAAAGTAGTGACAGGCTAGTGAAAATCCTAAAGTAACAAAACAGTAGCTAAGAGTTAACAGTACTATAAAAGGATAAAAGCAGATCAAGTATGCTGAAGTTGATTTTAAAGGAAATGCTTTTGAAGCAATGGAAGAGATCTTAATGTTGTTCTATGTGGAAAATCTTTGTAAAGAAAGTTAAATATTTTGAAAAGCATAAACTTCAAAAATCACAACATTTTTGCTCCTAAGTGAGTTGACTGTTTTGATATCCGGTATGAATGGCTAAAAAGCACAAAGTATGTAGAAGTTGTTAGACTGAAAAKATATACAGAAACATGAAAACATGAGAATAACACTGACTCAGTTAATGCTGTGTTTTGTTTATTGTGTTTTTTGATTAACAGCACCTGCAGGACTGCATTCGACTCCATGGGGACAGGGCTTTGCAGCAGGGTCTTACGGCTATTGTCTAGTCTGTGCCATGACACGGAGGGGCGGGGCTCTCCTGAAGCTTGACATTCAAGGTTAATCGGGTCACCCACTCTGACCCGAACAGGTCCAACAGGGTTGACGGTAGCCACTGGAGACTCTGAAGTGGAAAACACAGTGACTGATATCTGTTCGGCCAGTAGAGAGAACTCTTCTACAGATTAACTTACCTTTTACAATCAGAGACACTATGGTGTGGGTGATACCAAACGGATTGCTGGCCACACAGCGGTAAGCTCCCTTGTTCATAGGGCGAGCATTGTTTATAGTGATAACAGAGCCACCAGGTCCAACTTTGACATTATCTGCAGAACAGAACAGGAAGTGAAACATCAAGTCTGCTACAGGTGACCCCTGGAAATGACCGAAAGGGTTAGCATAGCTTAGTCTGAGAAAATGGGAGTAATCTCASTGGGGAGTATTTAACAGAGGTGTCAAAAGTATTCACATTCATTACTTAAGTAGAAGTATAGATACTAAGATTTAAAAATACTTTTTTGGAAGTAGAAGTATCAACGCAAGCTTTTTACTCAAGTAAAAATAATAAAAGTACTGATTTTAAAACTACTTAAAGTATAAAAGTAAAAGTAATGAACACTTAAAAAAGCAATTAGGGATAAAAGTCTAGGCTGTGCCACAGGGTTTATAGCACAGTGGTTCCCAAAGTTGGGTTCGGGACCCACAGTGGGGTCCTGAAAATGTTTTTTGAATTAACTGAACAAAGAAATGACAACTAAAAATTTTCTCTTGTTTTTACAAAATAATAAGATTACTATACTTAAAATGGATAAAAATAGTCTAGTAAATAATGGTACTTTGCTCTTGTTTATTTGACGTGAAAACATGTTTGTCAACTGACAACAGGGTATTTTGTGGGTCACATTTGGGAACCACCCTCCGCCCCCCAATTTTTCTTCTAAAGTCAGTAATGAGTATACTGTTAAATTAAAATGTTAATGTTGAAAAATTTGAAATTAACTTGTTTCAGTCACGATCATAGGCTACATGCATCTGGATAGATTTCTATTTATTTATTTTTCTCAACAATGAAAAATTGGAATAAAAACAAGTCAAAGTTGAATAGAAATAAAATACTTTTTGCATTTTTATAAAGTAAGGAGTAGAAGTAAAAAGTAGGCTGAAAAATAATTACTCCACTAATGTATAAATAATGAAATTTTCTACATAAGTAAAGTAACAAAGTATTTTTACTTAGTTACTTGACACCTCTGGTATTTAATCACAATGGCATCATAATGATAGTTTCTGTTTGCGTGTTGAGAAATGCGTTACAAATTAAATTTGCTAAAAGCTGTCAAATGTCCCTGTCTTTCTACAATCAGGCCTTTAATAAAGTAGCTAACTAACATATTGCCAGCGATTACTTGATGCCACGAAAAGCTTGTATCATATAAACATGAAAGTGTATGATGCAGATATGTATGGGTAAATTTCAAGTGTAACTGTGTGTAAATTAATGAGATTGTTCACTGGGTTGGTTCTTCGCTGTTACCTGGTAGTGGCTGGTTGTTGACCAGTTTCCATTCCAGTCTGACGGGCTGAGCTCCACTGTACACCTGGCACCTGAAGCTGGAAGATTCCCCCACACGCACTGCGGCGCTGTGGGGCTCAACTCCAATAATCGGGCTCTGGAGGCCTGCGGCAGAAACCAGAGTTTTAAACACTGAATAATTTCTGAGGAAAAGGAATCCCTTTAAATGTTAAATCAGTGGTTTGAGTATTAAATCTTCCATTCAGTGCGGCTTTGGGCTACTTTGGCAGTCAACAAAAAGACACCATGAAGAAATGAATTAGGATGAGATCATGGGAAAATAGCAAGGGAAATCATTTTACATGAAGTCATACTGGTGAGATGAGGAGGGGGTCTGTGAGTCTAACAACACCATGTAGTGTACTGCCTGTACATCGGAGTGAGTCTCCCTGCTGCTCAACTGATTCTGAGATCTAAAATAAAATGGTTAGATATTGCCATGACATTTAGATAAGATGAGATCTTTTTTTTTGCCATTGTCACTTTTGCAATTAACAATGAAATTGTAGGTGCAGTTGACTCAGCCTAAGGTATACACAAAAGAAATGTACATATACAATATTAATAATAGAATAAACTAATAATGGAATAAAAATAATCAAAAGTCTTGTAGTAATGTCAGTTAATGGTCATGCTTGYTTTAGGGTAGAAACAATTTCTGATGTGGTTTATCATGGTTTTCATTGCTCAGCATCTCCTTCCTGATGGCAAAACCTGGAAAAGACCATGTCCGAGGTGTGATGAGTCCTGTGAAATGTCTATGAATTTTTGGCAGCATCAGGAGGTGTAAATTTGTCCCAGAGAGGAGAGGGTACTGTCAGATGTATTTTCTGCTGACCTGATCACCCTGTGGAGAGCATTCCTTTCTGACAAAATGCAGCTGCTGTACCACACACACAGTCCATATGTAAGTATGCTCTTAATCAAGCAGTGGCACAGGGCAAGGAACAMATTTTGGGGAAGTTGGTTTTTCCTAAGGAWTCTCAGAAAAAYAGCCTCTGGTTTGCCTTTTTAAGTAGCACTTTGATGTTGGCGTTCCAGGTCAGGTCATCCTCAAGCTCCACGCCCAGAAACCGGAACGCTGGTACCCTCTCTCTGCAGGTCCCACCAATGTTGAGTCACTGGATGTGTGTCTTTTTTTTCTGAAGTCAATAATCAGCTACCAGTTTCTCAAAGCACTTCATAACAACAGCTGTCAGTGCCACTGGGTGGGTCATTCAGACTGTCCGTGTTGGATTTGTTTTGGCAGTGGAACAACAATGGAGGATTTAAGGCAGGATAGGACAGGAACTGGTTGCACATATGTTGAAATATTTTTTGGGAGAACTGCTGTCAGATCTGCATGATTGAATTCTCCAGAAATTACATAGAAAGCCTCAGGATACTTGCTCTATTTACAGCTAAAGGTGTTGTGCAGAAGCCTCAGAGCCAAGCTAGCATTGGCATTTGGTACTATGTACACAGCAGTTAGCAATGTATCAAAAAGAAAAAATAAGTAGGTCCTC